CACAGCATGGCTTGCCAAGTGGTGCCATGTCCACACCCAGGATTGGAGCTGGTGAACCCTGGGCTGCCGAAGCGGAACGTGCAAACTTAACCACTGCACCACCAGGCCGGCCCCTATGGATGGTTCACTCTTGGTGGTGTACATTCTATGAGTTTAGGCAAATTTATAATGGCATGAGTCCATCATTAGGGTATCATACCGAGTATTTTCACTGTTTAAAAATACTGCGTCCTGCCTCTTCATCCCTCTCCATGCCATTTCCCCCCCACCCAACCCCTGGCAACCACTGATCTTTATATTGTCTCCATAGTTTTGCCTTTTCGACAGTGTCATCCAGGTGGGGTCATACAGTATGTAGCCTTTTCAGATTGGCTTCTTTTACTTAGTAATATGTATTTAAAGTCCCTTCATGCCTTTTCTTGGTTTGATAGCTCTTTTTAGCACTGAATAATATTCCATTGTCTGGGTGGACCTCAGTTTATTCATCCACTCACCTACTGAAGGACATCTTGGTAGCTTCCAAGTTTCAGCAATTATGACTAAAGCTGCTATAAACATGATGTGCAGGTTTTACTGTGGACATAAGTCTTGAGTTCCTTTGGATAAATACCAAGGAGCCAAGATTGCTGGATCGTAGGGTAAGAGTATGTTTAGTTTTGTAAGAAACTGCCCAACTGTCTTCCAAAGTGGCAGTATCATTTTGCATTCCCACCAGCAATAAATGGGAGTTCTTTTGTGTTCATTTGTTTATTTTTTTTAATAAACATGCTTTGTATTGAAGTAACACTGGATTATAACATTATATAACTTTTAGGTGTACCTAATAGTATATTTCAAATTCTGTGTAGATTACATCATGTTCACCACCCAAAGATTAATTACAATCCATCTCCACACGTGTACCTAATCACCCCTTTTGCCTTCTTCCCTCCCCCCTTGCCCTCTGGTAACCTCCAATCCAATCTAATTGAGAGTTCTAGATGCTCCACACCCTTGTCAGCATTTGGGGTCAGTTTTCTGGATTTTGGCCATTCTAATAGGTGTGTGGTAGTATCTCATTTTAATTTGCATTTCCCTGATGACAAATGATGTAGAGCAACTTTTCATATGCTTATTTGCCATCTGTATACCTTCTTGGGTGAGGTGTCTGTTTAGGTCTTTAGCTCATTTTTTAATCAAGTTGTTTGTTTTCTTACTGATTTTTAAGAGTTCTGTGCATATTTTCAATAACAGTCCTTTATTAGATGTGTCTTTTGCAACTATTTTCTCCCAGTCTGTGGCTTATCTTCTCATTCTCTTTACATGTTTTGCAGAGCAAAAGTTTTTAATTTTTTTCTTTTTTAAAGATTGGCACCTGAGCTAACATCTGTTGCCAATCTTCTTTTTTTTTTTCCTTTATCTTCTTCTTCTCCCCAAAGGCCCCCAGAACATAGTTGTATATTGTAGTTGTGAGTGCCTCTGGTTGTGCTACGTGGGACACCGCCTCAGCATGGCCTGACGAGCGGTGCCATGTCTGCACACGGGACCCAAACCAGCAAACTCTGGGCTGCCAAAGCAGAGCACAGGAACTTAACCACTCAGGCACGGGGCCGGCCCCATAAGTTTTTAATTTTAATGAAGCCAAGCTTATCAATCTATCATTACTTATAGAAGGGAGTTACAGATACTGAAAGTCTAGCTAAATAAATAGGGAACTGAGGGTATTGTGCAATGAAAGTATTAGAAAGCTAATTATGGGAACAAAAATACAAACCTTCCTAATTATCAAAAGAAATGCTCACAGGAAACAAAGCAAGCAGTCTACGTAGTAAAATATTTTTAAAAGGTATAAATACAGAAAGTATAACAAAATAATTTAACAGAGCCTAGAACAAACATATCAAATCAATAAATGTGAATGGGCTAAACTCAACTATAAAGGGAAAAAGAATTTCAGACTGATTCACAAAGCAAAACTCAAATCTATGCTGTATAAAAGACCTACAACAAAAACGAAATGATTCAGAAGGGCTGAAGATAGAAGGATGAATAAAGAGATACTGGAAAACCTCAAACAAACAAAAAGCAAGACTGAATTCAGGCCAAAATGTATTAAAACAGACCAGAAAAAAAAAAAAAAAAGAGTACTCTCTAATGCTAAAGGTTACAATTCACAATAAAGATGAACAGTTATGAATATCTGTGGATCAAATAATCTTGCAACAATATTAAGCAAAAACTATAGAGGATATAAAGAGGAAAAAGAAAACATAGGTAGTAAGAAATTGTATTCATCTCTCTTGGGCCATAACAGATCAGTAATTTAACAGTAAGTAAAGATATAGAAATCTTAATAACATTATGGTAGATCTAATTGACATATATTGAGAAATTCTGAGAAGGGAAGTGGTACAGACTTGGCATAACTAAGATGGACAAGATAACAAAGGACACAGACAGAGCCTGTCACCCATGCCAACAGCAAAACTCTCTCAGTCTTCTGAGAAAATTAGAAAACTGGAATGTCTTTATTTGTTGACCCATCTGGCATAATAATTTCCTTATGGTATGTTTCCTGGACACATGTATGTATTTACATAGTTCACATATTGAATATGTACTTTTGTATTCCACAGCACATCAGCAACAATTCTCTTCATGAAATTAAAATATGTCCAAATTAAAGCACATCCAAATATATTTTAGAAGAGTTGATGGTATTAAATGATATGAACACAATATATTTTAATCATTTGTCAATATTTTGAAATGATTTAAAAATGCTCTAATGAACATGTATTTTACCACTTTTCCAACAATGGGTATTATTACCAAACATTTTCATCTTTGTAAATATAAAGGGGAAAATGTCTCACTTTTTTATTAGCATTTCTTAAACTGTGAGTATAGTTGAGCATTTTTGGATCTTTATTGGCCACTTATAACTATTCTCTGAAATGCCTGTTGATTGCTTTGCCAATTCCTCTTCGGTTGTTCTAATCTTGTTTTAAAAATCCTTCCATACAGTCAGAAATTAGCCCATTAGCTGTGTTACCTGTTACAAATATTTTCACCTGTTAAATTTTTCTTTTAACCTTGCTTATACTGTTGGGAGTACATCTTCCTATCCAAGAGCAAGATATACCTTTCCATGTGTTGAAATCTTCTTTGATGACCTCAGTACAATTTTAAAGTTTTCCTCATATAGATCCTACACATTTCTTGTTATGTTTACTTCTTTTTTTTTATTACCGCAATTGTGAATGGAATTTGTTTTTCCACTATATTTTTAATCTGGTTAGTATTTGTATACATGAGTGATTTATGTCTAGAACACTATTTTGTTTTCAAGATGTCTTCAATCACACTAAAAATACATGAATACATGCTTGGGTTTTAAAAAAAATTTATATGAATCAAAATTACTTAGAATAAAGAATGAGCTATTCTTTAAAAAACTTTAATTTTATAATCATCCAGAATTTACTGAATTCTGCATGTAATAAAAATAAAAAGTACTTTTTTTTTTACTTTTAATAAAATTCAGTTGCTTTCTCTGGGTTTTTCAGGTATACAATCAGATTGATAGCAAAATAATGATAATTTTACCTCCTCTTTCCAAAATGCATAGCTCTTACTTCATTTTCTCATCTCATTTTATGGGCTATTTCATTCAAAATTAAGTAACATAATGGTGTGCTGGTTGACATATTAATCTTGTGTAGGAGTAACAGTAATGTTACAGAAGGTATTTAAAATATATATTCTGACATATATCAGGCATACTAAAAGTTATAAAAATAATATATTGAATATAAGTACATAGATGCATGCATATGTATATATATGCCTTTAGTGCTTAACTTTAGATTTATTTTGTAGGCAAACAGTGTTGAAGATTTTTTGATTAGAGATTAAGAAAAGATAAGGTGAGACCACATTTTAGGAAGCTCAATCTAATTAGTATCAGGAGGTATATTTACTAATTCACAATGAGAACTTCCTCTTTGCAAGCTATGTGTAAAATGAAAATCCAAGTGAATGTTAGAGGTTTGTTCACTGAGTATGAGGACAAGGGAAGGACTAGAGATGAACCTGCTGAAGCCTGCAGGACTGCGCACCACCCAGCCTTTTTCCTGTTGATGACTTGAGTCTCTTCGGAGAACACTGAGTGGCTGGTCACCACCTGTGGGACAGTGGATGGGGTGGATCTGTGTGTGAGCTGTGGCAGGGAATTTTCAAGGGTGAGGCTGGGCAAGAGCTCCTGCTTTTCAGGATCCAAACGGAGCTCAACTCCCTGGCATCTGGTAGGTGTCTGCGATGACTGTGTTTGGGTGGCGTATCAGAAGACTTGTTCCCATCTGTAGTGCCTATGCTTGTCTTTATCAGAGAAAGGGGGTTTGGTTATAAGGCCCAAAAACATATCTCAGAAACCAAAGATCTGGACTGTTCTTCCAGGAGTGTTTTTTCAGGACATTTTCTCCTGCATGAAATCAACTAAGATATAATGTAATAGCAAGAACCAAATATTTATATGACATTAACACAATTTCTGCAGTACCTCTTTCTCTAAACCCATCCACCAGGGATTCAAGAGGGTGGAAGTTACGACCTGAAAGCAACAGGTGATGTACGACAGCTGCCTTGCTGTCCAGACGTTTTCAAATACAATTAGTGTAAAAGGACATATCTTACATTAATGTACGCATTTAGAATTCACAGAGCTTTCTCATAGTTTTAATTTGAGAAATTTTATGAAATATAAAGGGAAAGTATTAGCTACATGTTATAGATGATGAAAATGAAAGCTCGAAGATTTTGACTGTTCAAAGTCACATAGCTAGTTAGTGGCAGAGACGGGAGTAAAGCCCAGATATGTCACCTGTTGTGCTATGCATTTTGACAACCTTCATGCTGGCTACAATCTGAAGGGAGAGAAGAAAGGATAAAATTGTTTCTTTTCTTTATGGTGTTCAATTTTCCTAGTTGTAGAATCTTAATATTAAAACATTAAAACTCACCTAATCCGATCTTCTAAATCAGCATTAGCAGATCATAAAATCGACGTAGTGGGTTACAGCCAGCAAACTGAATAGAAAAGAATAGACTAGATGAGTACATTGCCCTAGGAGGTATAAGTATTGTTGTATTAAACTTGTTTTTAACTCTAGGTCACAGTCAAAAAAGCTTGAAAACACTGTTTAATCCTGGGTTCTCAAACAAAAGGGTGCATAAGAATTATCTGGACTTCAAGATCAAAAGATTCTGATTCAGTAAATCTCAAACAGGAATCAAGAACCTGCATTTTTAAAAAGCAAAATACAGGTGATTCTGATGCAGACAGTCTTGAGGCTGTACTCTGAAAAAATATGCCTTTTATAATGCAGAAACAAAGCACTTTCACTCTACATGCATGTCTTTTCCAGAAGGTTCCCAAGACATCAGGTGACATCCTTTTGCCACAGGAAGTCATCTCAGTACAGAAGTGCAGGGCTAGGTGGCACGCGCCTGCAGATTGCAGCCATGCCCTTGTATTGGTCTGCAGATTATTCCTGTACCCACCTTCATTCCTACATTTTAGGTTACTGGGCTAGCAACATGTCCGGGAACGGTGACAACAATGGCTAAGGTCTGGATCTTTTACATAGCTAAGTGGCATCAGAAGTGAGCTAGTGTCAACATATGTCCTCAAGTGCTCTTTGATCTTAATTATTCTTAACACAACTGCTAATATTTTTATTAACTACTACTAAATTACTAGGCTTTAGGCATTGTGCTTGGCGTTAGAGGGAATACAAAGATGACTGCCCCAGAAGTCTGCACAGACAGACACCATCTCTACTCTCCATCCCAACACACTAAAGGCAATAAAGTGGCTCAGCAAATATCTTGTGTCTTTGTTTTTGGCAGAGGCGCCTGATGGATTTCAGATACCAGGGAGAAGGCTTGTTACAGTCTGAGATGATGGGATCGTATCCTCCAATTTCATACCTGTCTTCCTTCTTCCATACACCTGAGGGAAACAGTGTTCACGTCTTAAAGGGAATATAGCCTCTACTGGTCCTATTATCAAGCTATCACAAAATTATACGTCATCCTAGAAACTGAGGTCTCCAACAAGTATTAAGAAATACGTACTGAAAGGATCGTTTGGGTACATGCTGCAGCATTCACAATTACTACATTTAGGAAGACACGTTTCACGGATATTCCTCCTGGTGAGGTAGTAAGTGAAAGCAGTCTGGATTGTAGAGAGGCTCGAAGCCCTCCCTTATTCACACATCACTTTAGCTTAGCCCACTGGGTATGTTTAATCAGTTCAAAAACAACTCATTTAACTTGAGCATCTCAAAAGATGTTTGTCAAAGGGTTTAACATAGTTATTGCTGGGTAGTGGGCCTGTGGGTTGTTTTTATTTTTTCCTTTGTAACTTTGTGTTCTAACTTTCTCTACAGTAAATATGGATTACTTTTACAATTTGGAAAAATACGTTCTGTTTATTTATCTTTTCAGAGAGAATAAAAAGCTTCTCAGATCAAGTAGACTGACTCCTTCATTACGCCTCAGGAGGTTCTAGATGAAAGCCTTAGTAAGTATTTCTGTAGGTTTCTTTTTAAAAGGGTCCCATTCTCAGTGCCCAAAGAGTTGTATTACTTAGCAGCAAACAAAAGACCTGAAGGCTTTCAAGAAAGGTCATTTATTCATTCAAAAACTATAATACATCAACTTCACAATGAATCATTTCATTCTATAACTAAAGACACTCTAAGTGACCCAAAACACCTACATTGGAACCCAGAGGTCTCTGGCTAACAATAACATCCTCAAATAAAGCCCTTAAGAAGACAGTGATGTTTTTCCATTTTGGAGAGGACACATTTTCAGCATAAAACAGCTTGGAGGAGGGGAGTCCAACCCTCAGACATGTACTCTTACTATTTCCACAAAAGCAAAATAGTTTTTGCTAACTGTCAGAAACATGATAAAATCATAGTATCCAAATTGTGTAAACAAAACATATCCTATTTGCTCCATAACAGTATAAAATCACATTATTTTCATCCAAATAGAAAGGCTTACTACCCCTCTAAATCCAAATAATTTAAGGCTTCCATTCCCACCCTACTATTTTTAATGTGGCACGCCTAAGTTTTGGAATGCCCTCTTCTGTGGGCATTTGAAGAACAATGTGCTCTGTGGAAGTGATTCCTGCATGACTGTTTCCATGGCTTTTGAAGAATTTCCCATGTATCTGGAGAAGTACTCTGATAATAGACACTACATCAAAGATTTTCCATAAGATTAGGTCTATCATGAAATTCTCTGGAGATGGTCAACCAAGGCTCCATGTACTCAAATGTCACCACTATCAATTTTTTAAAAACTCAGGTGCTGTGGAGAAAAGACTTTAGGGGAGAAAAAACCTAAAGCAAAATATTTAAAATAATCATACCTATTTATTTTGAATTTTTACTGACTAGCAGGATAGAAAAAGTCCATGCTGATATCCTATTCATCAAACCATTGTCATCATCAGAAGTAGAATTAACCTCAGAATCTGATCCATGACTTTGGAAGAGTACAGAAAACAGAACATCACAAAAGAGATCTGAAATGGCAGCGTTCTAAAGATTTTGGGGATGACACTTTCTGTCCATACTAACAGGAGTTTTCGCTGATTGTACTGAGAGTCCTTGGACGTTAAAATCTAGTTTCTCTCCTCACAACTTAATAAACACCACAGCTCCCTAAGGCACCTCCCAAGCAGGGAGCTGTGACTAAGCTTAGGGGGCATCGACGTTAATTCAAGAGCCTGTTCTAGAGCTCAGAGAGTATCCGGACAGGTGTGTGGACAAGAAGTGTATGGCGCAGACTGTTACCTACCCATGCTCTCCTTCAGTCTCAGTAACAGAACCCACATTTTCAGGGGGGTACGTACGGTCACCTAGCTAAAATGACTTTCCCAACCTCTCTTTCAGTTAGGTATAGCCATGTGACTAAGTTTCAGCCAACAAAATATACATGGAAGCATGGTTTGAGACTTCGAGAAAGTCTCCTTTAAAAGAGAGGGGGAGAAACATGCCCAAGGCCACACAACCAGTAAGCAGCGGAGCTGGGATTCAAACTCGCAACTGTGTGACTCCACCGCACCCTAAGGGTGTAGTGAAATCTTGTGAACCATCTAGAGCAAAGTTGGGCAAGCTTAGATCTGCAAGCTAAAAACAATTTTTACCTTTTTAAATGGCTGGGGGCAAAAATCTAAAGAAGAGTATTTTGTGGCAATTTCAGGGTCCATAACAAAGTTTCGTTGGAACACAGCCAGACTCATTCGTTTACAGATTGTCTATGGCTGCTTTTACAATGACAGAGTTGGATAGCTGTGACAAAGTTTCTACGGCCTGCAAAGCCTAAAATATTTATTATCTGATTCTTTACAAAAAAAGTGACCTTTACGAAAAAGATCCCTGAAAGAGAGAAACAGAAGAGGTACAGTGCAAGTAGGGGTGCTGCCGGGTAGGGATGGTGCAACTCTGGTGGCCATTCTAGAAATCCAAGTGGGCCAGCGGATGAAGTGTCACACTGCTTAGCAAATATCAGTGTTCATAAATATTTGTTCACTTCACAAAAGAAGACTAAGTGTGCCAATAAGCATATACAAAGATCTTCAGCATTATGTCATCAAATGCAAATTAAAACTACAATGAGATACTACTACACACCCACTAGAATGGTTATAAGTAAAATGACTGAGTGTCGGTGAGCATGTGGAGCAGTAAGAACTCTCAGACATTGCTGGTGAGAATATAAAATGGTACAACCACTCTGTGAAAACATTTTGGCAGTTTCTTATTAAGCATCCACTTACCGCATGCCTCAGCCATTTCACTTCTAGGTATCTATCCAAGAGAAACGAAAACATATGTCCAAATAAAAGCTAGCCAAAAACTGAAAACAGGGGCCGGCCCTGTGGCCGAGTAGTTAAGTTTGCGCACTCCGCTTTGGAAGCCCAAGGTTTCGCGGGTTCAGATCCTGGGTGCGGACATGGCACCACTCGTCAGGCCACGTTGAGGAGGCATCCCACATGCCACAACTAGAAGGACCCACAACTAACATATGCAACTATGTACCAGGGGGATTTGGGGAGATAAAGCAGGAAAAATAAAAAAAGATTGGCAACAGTTGTTAGCTCAGGTGCCAATCTTTAAAAAAAACTGAAAACAACTCAAATGTCCATCAATAGGTGAATGGATAGACAAATTGTGGAATAATACTCAGCAATAAAAACGAACAAACTACAGATACATAAACAACATGAATGAACATCAAAAACATGATGCCAAATGAGAGAAGCCAGACCCCAAAGAGAACATACTGTGTAATTCTATCTGTTTGGAACTCTAGGAAAGACAAGTTTATTCCACAGTGATAGATCCTCGTCACACGGATGTTACTCCCAATGGCTGTGTGGGCCAGGGACTTGGGTGTGGGGAGAATTGAGTGGGAAGGGGCACAAGGAAACCTTTTAGGGTAATATGAATGGTCTATATCTTGATTATGGCGGTGGTTACACAGGTGCATATATTTGTCCACACGTATTGAGTGTGTGCATTATATTGTATGTAAATTATACTTTAATAATTTTGATACAAAAAAGGGGCCTACTTCTTCAGGACCCAAAAATGGGGAGGAGCACAAATGTTCAGTATGGCTGTGAATCCATGCAGCATAAAAAATCCACATTGGACAGGAGAACAGAGATGAAAAGGCTAACTGCTAGAGAGAGACTTTTCTCAGTCCACAAGGAAGTGACCTCAGACAAAGTTGTCTTTCTAGGCTTCTTGCCATGGGGCCTGTATATTTGAGCCTGGGAAGGCCCAACTTTTGTCCTATATCAAGGGTTAAAAAGCTCCTGGGAAGCGAAGCCCTTAACATCTAGACCCCTGATTTTCTTTAAACTGAATAAAAAGTACTAATATTCTCTAATTCAGTTCCTCTAAAGGCACCAATCAGCAAGTTGCCCACTTGGATTCTTCATCTGGCATAGATAACACTTCCTTCAAATGTTTCTGTTGAATATAAAATGGCAG